ACAAGGAAGGAAGGAAGGAAGGAAGGAAGGAAGGAAGGAAGGAAGGAAGGAAGGGGGCATGTTGGCACAGTGGTTAGAATGCAGCATTGCAGGCTGACTCTGCCCACAGCCAGCAGTTCGATCCCAACCGGCTCCAGCTTGACCCATCCTTCCCTCCTTCCAAGGTGGGTAAAATGAAGACCCAGATTGTTGGGGGCAATAGGCTGACTCTTTAAACCGCTTAGAGGGGTATATGAAGTGGTATATACATCTAAGCGCTATTGCTATATTCGCAGGTTACAGAGCTGAATATTCTAGATGCCAAATCTTCCACCAACCGGTCTTTGTGTCTTTGGTCCACAGATGGGTTAGTGGACTGCATGGACCCCGACTGCTGCTTTCAGTCTCTGTGCCAGACCAACACGCTCTGCTTGGGGTCTCCAGACCCCCTGGACATAATACAGGAGATTCAGATCCCCATGTCCCAACAGAAGCTCTACTCTTTCTATGATCGGGTCAAGTTTCTGGTTGGCAAGGATAGCACGCACGTCATTCCTGGAGAGAATCCGTTCAGCGGAGGGTAAGTTTCCTCCCTTCCTTCCTTCCCTCCCTGCCTTCTTCCTCCCTCCCTCCCTCTTTTCTCTGTCTCTTTCTTTTTGATCTCCTTTCGTTCTTTTTTCTTCCCTTCCTTCTTTCCTTCTCTACCTGCCTCCTTCTTTCCTTCCTTCTTTCCCTTCCTAGCTTTCAAATTTTATTGTATTCATGGAATGCAATGAGAATAAAGGTATTCTATTCTATTCTACATTCCAATATCTATTCTGTTCTGTTCTGTTCTATTCCTCCATCTTTTTTTCTCTTTCTTTCGCTTTCTGTCTGTCTCTTTCTCTTCTTTCTTTCTTTTTCTTTCTTTCTTTCCTTTCTTTCTTTCTTCCTTCCTTCCTTCCTTCTTCCCTCCCTCCCTCCCTCCCTCCCTTCCTAGAAAGAAATCTCAGAAGATTTGGAGAAAGGCATTTTCCCTCATGGTGTTTCTGTCTGCAGTGCTTGGGGTTGTAGGTACCTGGATTTGCAAATGTACGGCACACAGCGAGCGCTCTGGTACACCAATTACACTTCAGGTTCAGCTTTAATAAGCGTTTTTTTTTTCCCCCTTGAAAATCAAAGGTTCGTAAGGAGTTCATAGCCTGCGTGTTATGATTTTATGAATGATTTCTCTCCCTGAAGAGTTTCTTGTAAACTCTGCACACGCCACGTACTGTAGCTACCTTCTGTCCCTTATGCTCAGCATAATTTAATATTATTATCCTGGAGTCTTATACTGATTAAATTCTCTGAGAGCGGTGATTTATGCAGCCCAAATGGCAAAAACTACAAGAGGGGGGGAGAGAAAAGGAGAGAAAGAGAGAGGGAGAGAGAGGGAGGGGGAGAGGGAGAAAGAGAGAGAGGGAGAAAGAGGGAGGGAGAGAAAGAGAAAGAGAGGGGAGAGAGAGGGAGTGAGGAAGAGAGGGAGGGGGAGAGAGGGAGAGAGGGAGGGGGGAGAGAGAAAGAGAGGGAGGGAGAGAGAGAAAGAGGGGAGAGAGAGGGAGGGAGGAAGAGAGGGAGGGGGAGAGAGAGGGAGGGAGAAAGGGAGAGAGAGAAGGGGAGGGGAGAGAGGGAGTGGGAGAGAGAGAAAGAGAGGGACAAAGGGAGAAAAATTCAGAGTAACCATGGACTATTGCAGAAAAATGCAAAAGGGGGAAAAAAACACAGGGAAGGAATGGATTAATTAAGCAAAGACAATGGAGGCAAACATACAAAGGCACTGATTGGTTCCTGCTCTCCTAAAGGCCCAGAATAAGAGGAAAAAGAGACCACACAGGATGGCTGGTGAATTCTGGGAGTTGAAGTCCACCCATCTTAAGGTGGCAGAGGTCAAGAAACACCAGCATAAAGAATTACGGGGCCAGTCTAAAAAAAAAAAAAAACCCAAAATGACTGGAGCAGCCATCCTTCTAGAACAAAAGATGTCTCGGTGTGGCACCCGCAGCTGTTAAGGCGAATCACTGAAGTTGTTAAGTTGGTCTCACTAACTTAGTTAAAATGAATCTGGCTTCCCCACTGACTTTGCTTGTCAGAAGGTCTCAAAAGGGGATCACGTGACCCCTGGGACATTGCGACCGTCATAACTATAGGTCAGTTGCCAAGAGGCTGAATTTTGATCATGTGACTGGAGAAGCTTGCAACGGTTGTAAATGTGAAACATGATCTTAAGTCGCTTTTTGGGGGTGCTGTTGTAACTTCAAACGGTCACTAAATGAACTGTTGTAAGGCTCTATACAGGTTCTTCCTTCTGTTCCTCAAAGTTATTCCTTCTGCCCTTTACAAATGCTAAGAAAGAGAGAGAAAGAAGGGGGGGAGAGAGAGGAAGGAAGGAAGGAAGGAAGGAAGGAAGGAAGGAAGGAAGGAAGG